CATCAAAAAAGCAATTACTTTTTGGCCAACCGAATAGATTAGGCTGCTGTGGAACTTGTCTAATTGAGTCTTGAAAATCTTGAAAATCCACAGCCCTAGTGGACAGTGCCCTCACATGTACTGGCCATTTTCCCCCATTGGCATAATCTGCAACTCACTCTGGGTGTGTTTTGATCCACAGGTCAGGCTGATAATGAAAATATTGAGCAGTATTGATCCCACTATCAACCCACGTGTAATGTTGAAAAGTGGAGTAACTGTTGAAGGAAATATGACCGAACTTTCAAGTTAATAAACTCAACTTGGGAAAATATAATGTTTGTAAAATAAGAATTGTTTGGATGGGGGTTTTTTAGCAGAAAACAAAGCATTTTAAACTGAACTATATCCAACTTTGAGCTACGCACAAGTGTATTTTTAGGTGTTTTCACAGTAATTACTAAATGGTGATATTTTGAATGTCAGAAAATAGAAAGTTTTATTTTTGGATGGTTAAGTGCCTTAAAACATCCATCTTAAGATGCTGGAAGAGTTTTTTGGGAATCTGTTTCCCAACTTCTCTCATGAGCAGCAGTGCAGATGCAAGAGCATGATGGACAAACCTCTGAGCACCTAGGCAGGAGCTTGAGTGCTGGATGCGGTTTACAGCTCTGAAATTACCATTAACCGTTTTTGCTAATGATTTTGTTTGTCCATTCCCTTTCCTTAATTTCCCTTAAAGGTAAATCCAGAATGAAGTAGTTTGTAGTAGCTCTGTTGCCTTTTTGAGGGTTGCCTTCCTCCTGTCTGAGCAAACATAAGTCTTATCTATCAAAATGCTGAGTGTCCTCTGTTCAGAGACAGTTGATGTCAAAGTCTTATGTAGTCAGTCAAGGAAGACCTAAGAGTGAATTACCTTCTACTATATATGGAGAGATGGATAGAAGACTAATTACCTCTCAGCACATAGGTAACTGTCTTAACAAAACTTTCTTACAGGTCCACTGAAGAAATGTTTAGTATGGCTGATGAAAGCTGCAGCTCCAATCCTGCAGTGGTTCGGAGGAAAAAAATTGCAATCAGCATAATCTTTTCTCTACCTAACAAAGAAGAAGCACAGAGAAACTTTCAGGATTTCTTTTTCTCACACTTTCCTCTTTTTGAATCTCACATGAACAAGCTGAAATATGCAATAGAAAAGGTACAGAATAATTGTGTGACTTAATGTGGAAAAAATAAGTGTCAGATTGAAGTACTCTAGAATCTAATACATGAAGTGTGGGGGAAGGTGTGTGGTTTCAAGCTTCCTTTCCTCCTTACACATGTAGTCTTGAGCCCGAGTTCAGTGTAGAAATTCAGCATTTTCTGAAAAAGAGGTGGTTTTTTTAGGGTTTTTTGGTGGTTGTTGGGGTTTTTTTGTTTTGGTTTGGTTTTTTTTTGCGGGATGGATGTGTTTGTTTAGTTGCTTTTTTGTTTTTGTTTTGTTTGGAAAGTTTTATGCTAGGGGTGGTTTTTCTTTTTCTTTCCTTCTTACCATATTTCACTGTGAGGTTTTCTTGGCTCCCTGGAGACAGTGGAAATGATGATATTCTTTCCTTTCATGTAGTCACTAAGAGAGACACAATGTTTGTTGCTGTCTTCCCAACTCTCTCAAAAATGTTCTCTTCTCTACCCATGTCCAGTCTTAGGGATTGGTCTCTCATGGGGTGGAAGGAGGTTGGCAGCTAGCACTGGGGCTAGATCTTAGTTAATTTGACATGTTAATGATGCTTAAAAAGATGAATGCAAATCCTTTAAGAAGCTGTTCTGTGTCTTTAACTCTTAATCAAGGCCATGATATCGTGTAGAAAAATAGCAGAATCCAGCCAAAGAGTGCAGGTTTATATCAGCCGTGTCATGGATGCCCTGGGAGAATTCAGGTGAGTTGATGGAATCCTTAATTACAAGGAGAGCTTTTCTCATGCCTCTCTAAAGATATTTGTCACTTCCAGTTTTAAGCAACTGAATGCAGGGTCTTGTAATTTAGCCAGTCTTGAAGTTAATGCGAATGAATTTTCTGTGTTGGGTATTGAGTAGGTGTTTTTAGACAACTTTATCAAAACCAGCTCAGCTGTTTTCAGAATGAGAGTAAAAGTAGTGCTGTTGCACTTGCCTGTACCTGGGACTGTCACTTTGTCTTTAAGATCTCATCAAGAGTTGGCTTCTGCTGATGCCTGTACAGAGGAGTGGATTGATGTATTCAGGCAGACGAACTGTCTACTCCTAGCCACAGATACTGAACAGTTTAACTGACAAGAAAGTTGCTGTCAAAGGCTCTTTTTTGGTATCTAAGAAGGGAAGGAATGGCCAGAGATTGAGAAAGGCAGCCCAGGAGAGAGAGATAGAGAGAAACAGGGCTTTAGTGGAATGGAGCTTCTGTAATGTTTGGAATGTGAAATCAAATCACTGCATTGAACAGAATGAATTTTCTCCCCCCTCAAAATGATTTCTGAATTGTTTCTCTGAATGCAAATACACAGGGGAATGCAAGAAAGGGAAAACAAATATGTAATTTATGTGAAGACACTAAGTTACTGGTACACTGAATTAAACAGACTAGTGTTGTGGGACAGGACGGTTAGTGTGTCTGGAAAACTCTTCCAATCTGCTTAGTCTCCTTGATCTTAAAATCAATAAATACATGGACAATAGAAGGGGAAAGAGGCTACTTGTAATTGCAAAATTGAAATATGCATGTTAACACTTACTTTTGGGAAATTTTCTCTGAGCAGAGTTACCATCTGGAACCTGTATTCTGTTCCAAGGATTGCAGAGCCTGTGTGGCTTAATATGACATCTAGCACCATGGAAAAGAATCAGCTATGCCAGCGTTTTCTTAAAGAATTTACATTTCTGATAGAACAGATCAACAAAAATCAGTAAGCTTTCCCCCACCTCCTTTTTCTTAAAAAAAAAAAAAAAAAGTTTGTCTACTTCCCAGTGCATGTGGATCTGTTAAAGCACTTAATTTTGCTGGTATTACTTTGGTCATATTCTTTTCCCTAGGTTTTTTGCAGCTTTGTTAACTGCGGTGCTGACATACCATCTGGCTTGGGTCCCAACAGTAATGCCGGTTGACCATCCTCCCATAAAGGCCTTCTCTGAGAAGCGCACATCACAGTCTGTGAACATGCTGGAAAAATCCCATCCATATAACCCTCTCTGGGCACAGCTCGGTCAGTAGTAAATGGAAAGATTGAGACTTCTCTATAACTAGCATCTTCCTGCATCTACTCCTCTAATCTAAGATAAGACCTTGTGATCCGGGTAGCATTTGCTGATATGCTTCATTGTAAGCTGCGTAAAGCTACCAACAGATGTCTTGTGTCTGGTTTAATAGAGCATTTGGAGGCCTGTTTGCGTAGCCTGAATGCTCTGCTTTTGTCCTTTGTTGTCATACTCTGTTACACTCCCTGACTGGTATAGAAGTATTAAGAGGGTGCAAGTGCTGTGAATGATCTGAGCAGTTTGGGAAGAACAAGAGGAAACGGGAGTTCTCTGGGCCTTGGAGGTCCTTTGTAGTCAAAATTGCCCTGGCTAGCTCATTTTATCTGTTTCTCACAGAACTAGGATTGACATCAAGACAACAGAGTAGAAATGTGGCAACTGTCGGTACCTCCATTCATTCATAGTTATGTGAGTGGACTTCAGCCAAGACTTTCTTTCTATGCCCAGCTCCTCAGGTTGTTCTCTGACAAATATTTTATAGCTTATGAGTATCTTGATACATGGGTTTAAGCAACTGTTGTCAAATGAGTAGGTGAGTGAGAGCTGAGATAATAATGCTTCTAGTGTTAAATCATTGAAAATTTCTCCTCTTCTTGACATCAACTGTGTGTCTGACATCAGATCCGCCTTAACATTAACTGATATACTATATTACCATGTAAAATAACACATGCACACTGAAACAATTATGTGACTTTTACATTGTGCTGCAGGTCGTATTTCTTGCTAATTGTCTCAGTTATGTTTGTTCTCGGTAATCTTCATGAGACCAAGAATTGCTAACTTGGCCGTGTAATTGTAGTAGAAGTGTTTCCTGTTTTAGGGAATCTTTTAAAAGACTATGCAGACGAGTAATGCATTAGACTTGTAGGGGAAAACAGAAGCTTGCTCAGGGTGTTGAAGATGGAGTCAGGCCTTGTGTTAAAAAAAACCAGCTAGACTGGCATAAGATAGGCAGTAGCTCTTGTGATCAGTCTCAGGAGCCACTGTTGGTTACTGGTCTGGAATCTGTTACTCTTCTCAGTTTCCCAGGCTATGTGTTGCTACCAGTATTGGCCCTGTCAAGTTGTAAGTGCGTGAACTCAAAATGCCTTCTGGTTTGGTATTGTTCTTTAAAAGCCCAGAAGCCACTATTAGCTGGTTGCGGTAGCTGATAATGAAAGTAAGATGTTGCCCTCTGCTGGTGTCCTTCTTTAGAAAGAGAGGGGAAAAAATAAAAAATCATGGGGCTTAGTGCTTTAAAATGAAAATTACTTTTTATTAAGGAAAGGATTTTGATGTACCTGTCTTTCCAGACCTATGTTCTCATTACATATTACATATCAATTACAATTACATACTGATACAACTATAAGTACCCCTATCAGAAAGACATAATACTGTCTTAAACATCAGCTTCAATCTAACGGCCTTAACAGTAGGCATTAGTATGTTTTAAGACCACAGCTTTGACTCTTTATACTGTCTTACTGGTAATGGCTTTCTATAAATGTCAGTTATGCAAATGAACATTAACCCTGAATCTGATTTCCATAGCAACTGTACTCAACTTGAAGGTAAAAAAATATTTCCCCATTTGCTTTCCAAAATGCTAGTCCTTGTGGGCTACCAGACATTGGAGGTTATTTCCAGCGAAGTAGTCCGAAGGCCAGTTTCCATTACTGAGGAATGAACTTGCTAGCATGTTAGGCTATGGGGCTAGTTGCAAGTTGCAAGGGTGTCCTTAACTGGGGAAAGGAAGCATACTGATGCCACCACATAGCAGCCTCTCCAGTGCAGCACTGACATCATTGGAAATGGCAGATCTTGGGAGCAGAGGCAGTAAGTGACAGCCATGGAATTACTGTCTCGTTGGTCCTTGTTTTGAGTGAAATCAGGAGCCTTATTCCTTTTATGTTCTGTACAGCAAAGAGAAGGCTGGGCATAAATGTGTTGGGCTTTTGTTTTTTGGTGGTGTGTTGAGGTTTTTTTTGTGTGGGTTTTTTTTTGTTTTTTTTCTTGCCTATTTTAGTCTCCTCATGTTGAAACCAGAGGTCCCCTTGCCTTTAGTACAAACCTTCCTGAAGCTCTGATTATAACTTCCATTCAGTGTTGCTTCTTGAGGTCTAGTACAAAATCCTGGTGGTAAACTCACTATAAAGCATTTGAGTAACCTTCAGCAAGGACTTGGCACATAAAACCTGGTACCGAAAATCTGGTAGATAAGCAGGTAGCTGATGAAGCGTCAAGCCAGAGAAGCCTTCTTTCAAAGTGAAAACTTAGGCTGGCTAAAGAAAATTGAGCTTTTGCTGGTTTTCTCCTATCTGCCACAGTTTGGTTAAGAAAAGACATTTAGTGGGAGTTCTGTACTGAATGTCAGGTGAAGCTGGGTTCAATCAATCTGGTAGTGAGCATTTCTTGAGTTAACACATCTACATACATGGATATAAACTCTTTAGGAAAGACAGGCAGAGAGGAGAAGAAGAGGAGGTGTAGCCCTCTACACTAAGGACCAGCTGGAATCCATGGAGCTCCACCTTGGGCAGGGTGAGGAGCTAACAGAGAGCTTTTGGTCAGGGTTAATGGGAAGGCAGGGGAAGGTGACATCATAAGTGGGGGTCTGCTACAGGCCACCAGACCAGTAAGACCAAGTTGATGAGGCCCTCTATAAACAGATAGGGGCAGCCTTGCGTGCACGAGTCCTGGTCCTCATGGAGTATTTCAGCCACCCTGATGTCTGCCGGAAGTACAACACAGCAGGGCACCGGTGATTGAAGAGGTTCCTCGAATGAGTTGATGACAACTTCTTCTTCCAAGTGGTAGAGGAACCCACAAGAAGGGGTGCCATGCTGGACCTTGTCTTCACCAACAAGGAGTTGTGAGCAATGTGAAGCTCAAGGACAGCCTTGGCTGCAGTGACCACAAAATGGTAGAGTTCTGTCAAGATCCTTAAGACAGCAAAAAGGTTGCACAGCAAGCTCACCACTCTGGACTTCAGGAGAGCAGGCTATAGTCTCTTCAGGGATCTCCTAGACAAGGTGTCATGGTATAAAGCCCTGGAGGGAAGAAGGGCCCAAGAAAGCTGGTTGATATTCAAGGACCATCTCCTCTGAGTCCAGGAGCAGTGCACCCCAAGAAGGAGGAAGGCATGAAGGAATGAAATCTGGCCAGGAACATAAAGGGGAAGAAGAAGAATTTCTACAGGTACATCAGTGATAGAAGGAAAGTTAGGGAAGAAGTAGACCCTCTCTGGAAGGAAAATAGAGAACTGATCATGAGGGATACAGAGGAGGCTTAAGTGCTCAATGACTTCTTTGCCTTGGCCTTCACTGGCAAGGGCTTTACCCACACCGCCCGAGTTACAAAAGGCAAAGGTAGGGAGTGAGAGAAGGAAGATCTGCCCACTGTAAATGAAGATCAGGTTTGAGACCATCTAAAGAACCTGAATCCACACAAGTCCATGGGACCAAACGAGATCTATCTGTGGGTCCCAAGGGAACAGTTGGATGAAGTTGCCAAGCTGCTATCTGTGATATTTGAAAAGTCATGGCAGTCTGGTGAAGTTCCTGCTACATAACCTCCATTTTCAAAAAGGGGTAAAAGGAAGACCCAGGGAACTACAGGCCAGTCAGTCTCACCTCCGTGCATGGCAAGATCATGGAGCAGATCCTCCTGATGGCCCTCCTAAGGCACACAGAGAAGGAAGATGTGGTGATTGGTGGTAACCAACACGGCTTCACCAAGGGCAAATAGTGCCTGACAGATCTGGTGGGCTTTTATGATGGAGTTACAGCATTGGTGATTAAGGGAAGAGCAACTGACATCATCTATCTGGACTTGTGCAGAGGATTCAACACTGTCCTCCATGACATCTTGGTCACTAAATTGAAGAAAAATGGATTTCATGGACAGACCACTCACTGGATAAGGAATTGGCCGGATGGTCAACCACTCAACGTCCAAATGGAGACCAATGACAAGTGGTGTTCCTCAGGGCTCGGTTCTGGGACCAGTGCTGTTTAACATCTTTGTCAGCAACATGGACAGTGGGATCGAATTCACTCTCAGCAATTTTGCAGATGACACCAAGCTGTGTAGATATGCTGGAGAGAAGGGATGCCATCCAGAGGGACCTGGACAGGCAGGAGAGGTGGGCCCAAGCCAACCTCATGAAGTTCAACATGGCCAAGTGCAAGGTCCTGCACCTGGGTCAGGGCAATCCCAAGCATAACCACAGGTTGGGCAGAGATTGGATTTAGAGCAGTCCTGAGGAGAAGGACTTGGGGATGTCAGTTGATGAAAAACTCAACTTAATGATCAGAGGGCTGAACCAGCTGCCCTGTGTGAAGACGAAGTGAGAGACTTGGGACTGTTCAGCCTGGAGAAGAGAAGGCTCTAGGGAGACCTTATTGCAGCCTTCCAGTTCCTGAAGGGGGCCTACAGGAAAGCTGGTGAGGGACTTTTTACAAGGGCAGGTAGCAATAGGATAAGGGGGAATGGTTTTAAACTGGAAGAGGGTAGATTTAGACTAGATTTTTAGGAAGAATTTCTTTACTGTGAGGGTGGTGAGACACTGGCACAGGTTGCCCAGGAAAGTTGTAGATGCCCTCTCCCTGGAAGTGTTCAAGGCCAGGCTGGATGAGGCTTTGAGCAACCCAGTCCAGTGGGAGATGTCCCTGCCCATGGTAGAGGAGTTGAAACTAGATGCTCTTTAAGGTCCCTTCCATCCCAGACCATTCTGTGATCTTTGTCTGGTACAGCATGTGAACATTCCCTTATTGGCTATCTATGTTTACTTCTCTCAGAACTTTGGAATAGAAGCCCTTCAGCAGCTGATAGAGGATTATAGACAGCTGGAAGATAGCTACCCATCTCCCAGCCAAATATGTTGCAAGTAGGATATGTATGATCTTAGTTCTGTTAAAAAAGCGTATCTTTGGGATAAATGAGCTGGCAAATGAGCAGTTCTTGGGGAAACTTGGATTGTTTTGGTACCTATCTTTCATATTACAGTTGTATTTTAGGTAGTGAATATATTTACTAATTCTCCACCACCCCCTGCAAAAGATAAATGCTCATGTTAGTGAGCTTGCCTCAAAGTACACAGAAGTGCATGTGCCTTGTCCATTAAGGTAGTTACATGTGTCATTTTTCAAAACCTTATTTATTATGCTAATATTGAATCCTTTTTTGGTTTTTTTTTTTTATCTTAGTCCTGAAAAATAGCATTTAGGTTTTATCAGTATAAAAATTCTTGTATTAAACACAAAAAGTGTTTGCAATGAAACAGAATAACTTTGATATGAAAGAAAATGAGTAGAAAAATAGAAATTAGTATAGCTGGCTGCGGAGTTTAGCTGGATCTATATTCCTCTTCAACCCCTGTTGTGTCAGTTTTGAGGTGGTAATAGCTTGTACGCATCATGTAAATAAAAACCTTAGTAGCTTTGAACAGAAAGAAGCTGAGTAATAGCAGCTAATGTCTCACAAGAACACCAAAACACTTCTGGACATAAGCCAGGAGTGCTAGAAGACTTCTTTTGTTATTCTTTATTTTATACTTTTATAAACTTACTGAGAAAGAAACTGTCTGATTTGTGTCCATAGTAAATGCTGTTTAAAATGTGTTGAATTTAAAACAGTTTAATGTGTTGAATAGCTTGTATGACAACCAAAAAATGAATGTGTGACATTTTTGTTTTCCTGTATAGGTGACCTCTACGGTGCTATAGGCTCTCCAGTTAGATTAACTCGAACTGTTATTGTTGGGAAACGCAAGGAGCTGGTGCAGAGCTTGCTCTATGTTCTGACTTACTTTATTCGGTGCTCTGAGCTGCAGGAAAATCAGCTGACATGGAGTGGGAAGGCTGGAGAAGGAGAGCAAGTTCTAAATGGAAGCAAGATCACAACTGCATTAGAAAAGGGAGAGGTAGAGGAGTCTGATTATGTTGTTGTCACTGTTAAAAATGAACCCGCTCTTGTGCCTCCAATCCTACCTCCAAAGAATGATGGAAGTAAGAATAATTGTATTGCAGAGTGGGTACGTGACCCAGAAAGTACAGATGCAGTCCCGACCTCTTCAGAAGAGAAGAGAGAAGCAATAGGAAAGACCAGTCAGAACTCTCAAGTGTCTGTTGACTGTCTAACTAGCAGTTTCCACAAAGGAACAGCTGACGGTAGGAAAACAACTGTCACTGATAGAGGAATTGTATCCTACCAGTTTGAAGAGCGATCTAAACTGGAAGATTTAGTGGATATAAAGAAGAGCAAGAACCAGAATGAGAGAAAAATAGAGAAGCAATTGTCTAGTAGGTCATCTGCCTTACCTTGTCCTGAAAGATCTAGTCACAGGAGTTCACACTTGGAAAAAGTCACCTTTCATATTGGGAGCTCTGCATCACCAGAGTCAGACTTAGAAACTCGCAGAAGAGAAATGGAAGAAAATCTGAAGGCATTTGGAAAAAATCCAGAGGTGATTCATTGTGCCTCAAGTTCCATAAGTCTGAGTGTTGATTCTGCTTCCCAGAATCAAAAAGAAAGTTGTGAAGCTGCCTTTATACCCTTTGGTAAACATAATGTTTGTTATGCACATGTCTCACCTTGTGAGGGGAAGGGGAGTGTACTTAATGAACATATGAAAAGTAAAGGAACTGAAATGAATTTAGTGAACACAGTATCTAGTGAACCACTTTTTCCCACAGATAACATAGAAATTGCAAAATTGCCAAGCTTGAAAGAAACTAGAGCTTTATGCTCTAGCAGTCTGGACAATCTGGAGAATTACTCCCCTGGCTGCATAGAAGTAGGTGCTAAAGATGTCCCCTATGGGGATGCTGGAAGGAAAATCCCCTTCAGAGCTGAAGGGGACATTCCAAGGAACGAGAGTTCAGACAGTGCTCTTGGAGCCAGTGATGAAGAAGGTGATTGTTGTATGCCTGATGAAATGCATCTTGATAATGTCAGCAGAAGACATGAAGAGTTTGCAGAAGTGGAACTTCCTTTACCAAGGTAAAGGAATTTAAATTTAGAACTAAATGGAGTCAAATGCTGTTGCTACTGTAGAAATGTTTGGGGTTTTAATTCTGAAATCCTCTGGGATCTTGACCAAGTTTCTTGTAAATAAATCCGTAACAGGCAGTGTTGATGTGGTTAGGATTCTTGTAAACAGACTTGGCAAAAAGAAAGCCAAGGTACTGAAGTTTTGTGACAAAGGTGTTCTTCAAATGTCTAATAAAAAGTGATAAAACTTTTTAATAGAAACTGCCTGAAACTTCTAATGTTGTAGACATGTAGACAGAACATCTGAGGACAAGCAAAACTTCAGCTTTGCTTAAACTGATAACTGTTTATTTTTGACATATTTGACAAATCAAAGCGTGTGAGGTGACACAGGCAGGTTGCAGGAGCAGCCATAAAACCATAGATGAGACAGAGCATATTTATTCTCGGTACCTTGTGAAACGAGGAATCTCTGAAGTAGCACCTGGCCAGAAGCACGCAAGTAGGAATGCAAGCACTGAGGCTTGATTCTTGCAAGGGCCAGAGTGAGAGATTTCCAAACTGCTGCTTTCGCCTGTATTTAAGGATGTTTATCTGGTGTAGTTTTGCACTGTTGTGCTTTGATCTTTCCCACAGCAGGGCAGGAATCCTAAGCATGTTAGATAGAGTGCCTCTTGAGTTTATTGCAAGCCTATGTTACCTAAGCACAGTGGTTCTACTTGTCAAGCATAAAAGACTAAACAGCAATTAGTACAATATATATGTTTTTTGACAGCCCAGCTGCAAGTCACTTGAGTGTTTTTACAATCCTCACCAATCTTCTGTATTTATCCCACACAAAGACAGATTTGAAATAAATAAGGGCATCCTACTTGAAAACTTGAGCTTTGCAGGTGCACATGGAGCTTACTGATGCTTAAGGTAGGTATCTAGAAAGAGTTTGCTGCTTGGACTGAGTTGGAGATAACTCAATTGTAGCAAACCTGTTAGCTGCAGAACAGGAAGCTCATACATACCACAAGCTCTAACATGTGTAGATTTGCCTTTTCATAAATTTGAAGGAATTAATGCATTGTTAAAGTTCAGCTTATAAAATCCTTGTTTCAATAGCACCATTTACTGATATACTGTATTTTGAGTATAGTTGTTGGTTAATGTTTGCAGTAGAAGCAAGAGTGATAAACCCTTCACTTAAAGTCTGAATGCAGTTTGTCAAGCAAGAATCTTACCTGCTTTGTATTGCTGTATTTCAGGTCACATACAATCAGCAGTCAATGTGTGAAAAACTTTGGAAGATCACTTCTAGGTGGTTACTGTCATACGTATATACCTGATTTGGTGCTGCATGGAATAAGCAATGATGAAAAACTCAAGCAGTGTCTACTGTCAGACCTACTTCATGCAATGCATGTGAGTTAGAACATTGTTCTGAGTCCTATTAGGAGTTGTGATATTACTGACATCTACGGAAGCAGGTCCTTGGAATAAGTTTCTTTCATTTTACCTGTTCTTAACCTGACACATGACATATCTGTCTTCTTGAAAGATACAAGTCCTTAATTCATTGTGTGCAAAGCATGTTCACACAGGAATCACATGTGCTTTCCCTTATACTCTCTCAAGGCTTCTCTTCAAAAATAAACACAAGAAGAATTATTTGCAACTTCAAGTTACAAACAAGTAAAAAACCCTCTCAAACTGCTTTTTGTTTCAGTCACAATAGCAGACAGAATTATCTGTATTTCATTAAAATTATATTCAAATTGAAACATTTTGCCACTTAGTGACATGTGTTACAAAGGAGGTGAGGTCTTGTGGGGGCCTAAATGATACCAAACTGTAGTAGAAATTACTGACTACAGAAAGTAACTGTCTATAGGTAAGAACTTTGCCATGTTCACAGAATCTCAGAATGTTAGGAGTTGGAAGGGACCTCGAAAGATCATCCAGTCCAACCCCCCTGCCAGAGCAGGATCACCTAGACCAGGTCACACAGGAACGCATCCAGGCGGGTTTTGAATGTCTCCAGAGAAGAGAGGAGACTCTTACTCTATTTTAGGTGCTCCTAAATTATATAATTAATTTATAACTAGTCTTTCACTAAAGTAGCTGTTTCCCCTTGGTATGCAATTTCACTTGTTTATCTAGTAATTGTCAACAGCTTCTCTCTGTAGCAATTAAGAATCATTCTGGTGGAATGAGTTCATGTACTATCCAAAACAGTGATGCATGTGTGTGTAACTTCTTTAGACAACATCAGATTGGTCTAATACAATACTGTATCTTCATTCTACTCTGCCTTGAATATACATAGTGAAATCCCTCACATCTCTGAAACATTAAATGTATTTTTTGCCATCATTGGATCAGTATAATTATTTTCTTTTCATTTTGGAAGAAACTTACCTTTTCAGGGAAGGTGGAATACTTGAAGAAAAAAAAATGGAGTAGTGATTTTTGAAGCACTACTTAAATGAAAATGCCTTGATTAAATTGGCAGTTAAGGCTTAACTGACCCAATGTTGCTGAATGTAATCTCTGTCACTGAAGTTGGTATTTGTTGTTGTTGTTTTTGAAATGCCTTTAGTTTCCCATTGGATAAAACATTCACTGGATCACTGTATTTTCTGCTTCAGTGTAAATAAAAGTGGAGCCTCAAACTGCTGTGGAAATGTATTTGAAAGTGTTACATAATGTTTGTATTTTGTATCTGTTGCAGCATCCAGTGCTAGATGAGCCCATAGCAGAAGCTGTCTGCATTATTGCAGACACAGATAAATGGAATGTGCAAATAGCTACAAGCCAGAAAAAGATGATGGACAATATGAAGTTAGGCAAAGATGTTTTGGTTTCGAGTCAAGTATCCAGTTTATTGCAGTCTGTTTTGCAGCTTTACAAACTCAATGTCCCAGCTGACTTTGTAAGTATTTCTTTACTGAAGACTGAAGCTAATGAAAATTGCTTAGCTTAGATAGCAGACACAGAGTTTTGTACACTGTGTTGCTATACCAATGAACTAATGCCTGAAATAATGCAGAGTTGGTACAACATATTTAAAAGAATGCATGCTACAGTCCAGTAAGATAGCCTGTCTTATCTGCAATTTACATCTAATAGATCAGATTAAACTTAGCTATTCCAATATACATGTGCCAAAACTAAAGCTGTTTAAACAGTTTTAGCATGGTCCTCACATGTTTATGATTAGGATTCTTAAATTTGGCTTTTACGTTTTTTGCTTGTGTAATTTCCACACTTCTACTCTTTATGTCGTTGAAACTTCCATGTACCCAAGCCTGTTCCTAGCATACAGTTTTCTATTCTTAGGCTTTCTATCCAACCCCTCTTCTCTCTTCTCCCCAAATAATTGTGTGTGCATGTGTTTCTTGACCCTTCTGTTTTTTGCATATTTCAGCCAACCCTGTCAGCAAGTGCTCTCTTGGATGGCCTTGCTGATGTCTCCGTAGCATTGCTGGGAGTAGATTGAAACCTGAAAACACATGGGGGTGGGTTGCAGCAGGGGACATTCCTTTGTCATATTGCATACTCCTTGTCCCACAATATCCTTTCCTGTCCTCATTAGTAGTGGAGTTCATCAGAGCAAATCAGTAATGCTGGTTTTGCTTATTACAACAAAATTACCTGCAGTGGTAATTATAACACAGTTTTCAATGCATGATTGTAGGTGAGAGGAGATGGGGTGTTTTTTTCAGTAATCACTCCTTCTTCAATTAACAAAATCACTTTGTCCTTCAGCAGATAGCCTTGAGAAATGTTTTAGGAGCCTGTGTAATAACTGTGCTATCAGATGGAAGAGGAAGATAGCACTCAAGACTAACAGCTGTAAATAGTATTAGTTGGCACAGTTTTGAATTAAACTAGTGGCATTGTTTATGCTAAGTTTTTGAAGTCAAGTGCTATGCGAAATACTTGAGTACATTGTCAGTGTTGTCTCTGGATTCTTCTGGGCATCAGTAAATACACAACTTTCATTAAAATTATATCCTAACACTTTCACAATAGTACCGGTAAATTCTCGCATTATTAAACTGAATAGTTGATTCTGCAACAGAAGTGTTCTCTCCAATGCTGCTTTGGGGTTTATGTATGCGATTTCTGTATGCTTTGTGTGGTGTGGGAGAGGTTTGGAGGTGGAATATTTTTCAAGGCTTTTTTAATTTCTTACAAAAAGAAATAGTGAAGTGACAGTGCAAGAAGTTTGTAAATTTTCTGTAATCCGCATTAGAGACACTTTGATCCTTCTGTCAGTGGATTTTACAGCTCTTTGCTAAAACAGAACCATTGATGCATGGAAATCAAGTCTTCCATTAAACTCTAGGGAGAGAAGTGTGACATTTTTATTGTGATTGTTTTGATTTAAATTTTGACCAAAAAATGTATACTAATATCGATCAGAGATGAGCATAATGCAGTATGTTTCAAGTTTCATTTAGGAGTGTTTGTTTCTTTACATGCAGTTATTGTTTAGATAAATAAGTTTTTTGGTTGGTGGGTTTTATTGTTTGGGGTTTTTTTGTTTTGTTTTGTTTTGAGGTTTTTTTGTGGTGCAACAGAAAACAAAACCCGACTTGAGACCAGATGAAAGGCAAGTGGTGATATCTTTGTTGTGGCACTTCAGACTGGTAACCATACTGCAGAGAGCTTTGCGGTATGCCATGGTGAGAGGGAAATGATAGCAACTGCTCCATGTCAGCAATATGTCAAAAGCTTTACATGCACCTTTAAACTCACTTTAAGCTACTTTCCTAATTCTAGAAGTGATTTGACTTTTTTTTTCCCATTACTAAATGGAAATTACTGAATTGTAATTGTACTTAATAGTAATTTCCATTACTAAATTGGAAAAACTGCAAGGGAAGCTAACATTAAAAAAAATAATCTGTACCTCGCTTACCATGGACATTTTGAACAAATTGGCATCATGTACTGAGCTCATAAGGAAAAATGTCTTTTAATTCTTTTCTGGCATTCAGGAGTAGCAGATAGTCTTATGGAAAGAATCTCTCTTTTAGAATAATACAGGATTCTTCCTTACTTCCTCACAACTTAAAAAAAATAAATTAATTCTTTAGCACGAGTAATGGAATTGAAATATCTTGAACTGCTAGAAGTAGTGAGTCAGCTGCATGCTCCTCTGAATCACCTGAGGAAGTGCTTATAGGCTTTTACCTGTAATGGAAAAGATAAGAATATTTCCCTTTTGGCTAGAATCAGAAAGTGTTATGATTATAATGACTTAAGTGAAACCTTGCTTGAAGCAAATACATCAAACTACTATCAAAAACCATTTGTCTTTCCTCCACTAGTGGAAGTTATTCTACTACTATGTAGCACATTTTTTTAGAGGTGCCTCTTTACCTTCCATGATTAAGACCTGATATAACCTCAGAGAATCACTAAAAATCTTGCTCCAGACCATCAAAAAAATACATGGTAGGCTACCTACAAGCATGAGTCATCTTTTTGCTTTTTATTTTTTATTAGCAAAACTGGTTTCACAGGATCTCATTTCTAATACTTACGGTTTTCATTCAACTCGAGAAGTACATTGGATGACAGCTTGAAGCTATTTACTGCTACTGTTTCTAATTGCTGTCTATGCCTGCTGGATGATTATACATTTGATAATGTGAGGTTCTGCTTGTGTTTGGAGAGCTGAACTACTTTAACTTTTTTGCAATGGTCATCCCTGTGGAAAGAAGGAATATATCAAATTGAATGTACCTTTTGCCCTAGAACATAATACCTGATAAGACATCCTACCTACTCACCTTGTGAAGATGTCCTGCTTACTCACCTTGTCTTACCAAAAAAACCCAACAGCCCTCTCCATTTTTCAAGCCAAGGTTCATCTGCACTCCAGCAGTTAGAGTATGAGAAATTACTGTGCATCCCATGACTGTATTTTAAAATAATATGCATTTCTAGCATGCTACTGCTGAAAGAAAAGGGGAGTAATTAAATTGGTATTTCAATTTGAACCATTACTTTTTGGGAAACAGTATCAAATGTTTAAGCAATCTTAAGCTAGAAGTACCTGGGACTAATAAAAACAAATGCCTAAAAAAGGATTTATAACCTAGCTTCTACAGTAAAGTAGTGAGCAAAAGAGCTGTAATTTCATGCAAATAAGATATTGGTGTCTTCCATTTCTTGAATCTTAGTTTCTTGAATGGCAGATCCCTAGAGCTAGAGTTGTAACTTTAGGAGCTGTTGTCTAAACTGAAAAAATAGTACTGACTTGTAACAAAGATGTCTTGATCCAAGTATTCTGGTTTGATTCTTAGTAAGATGTCTTGAGTGTCTTTGAACCTGGTTAAAACTATTTAAGTCAGCAGAAACACTGTGACTGGCTTGAGTGGAAAATGGGTGTGCAATTTGTGCAACAAACTTGCTGCTCGAGAAAGCTGGAATGTCTCATTCTGTGAGGGGTTCCTCTTTGAGGGAGTAGTGTAACTGTTTAATGCTAACACAGCTGTAATAAAAACAGTTGCCTCTTCTAGATTTTGTAGTGGAGATTTAGTTTGAAAGACGTTCTAGCTAAGATAAAAGCTAAAATGGAATGCTTACATTTCTGTAAATTTTCATGTTTGCTGAAGCCATTCTGAGGTTTTCAATCTGTGTTTACAGTGCATAATGCATCTTGAGGATAGACTACAAGAGATGTATCTCAAAAGCAAAATGCTTTCAGAGTATCTACGAGGACATACAAGAGTGCATGTAAAAGAACTAGGAATTGTGTTGGGGTGAGTATTGCAGGTATTATTCTTAACCAATGACAAAACTTGGAGCCATTATTTTCCTTCTCAGTTCCTGAATGTTGACATCTTGTTCCCACAAGGACTTGCTTCTTACTTCATATTGAGCACTCTCTTCTTTTATGTGCCTAAGACAGTGTAAAAATGGGTCCTGGCCTCTGAACAGCTTTATATTTGGAAATATTTGGAAACTGACCATTGTATTTGAGAGACATTCCTAGTACTGTTACTGCAAAATAATTAATAATTCCAGCTTTTTCTCATTTTTGGTACTACTATATGGTGAACTAGTTTATATTCGAAACATGAAAGGCACAGTCTTCTGTAAGCTGATGTTTAGTACTGTCTTAAACTGGGCTTATTGGTAACTACTGACTGGTAAGACTACAAGCTAAGGCTTATGATTTAGCAAATAAATAAAAGCTTTTCTTTTAACCACAAAAGATTATATACCACAAAATAAAGTACTGCTATCTTTTGACTTACAGTAGCATACTTCTTGGCTTTAAATGTTATTACCTACCTTTACTGATATGTTATGAGTAATGGCAATAAATGATAATTAAACAATGAACTCAGTTATAGCAGGGCACTTCCAGTTTCTTTAAAGTGAGTGTAAAATATCTTATGATTCTCTTCTTTTGTGAAGGTGACTGTATATTTTAAATTCTGTCTCGCTTTGTTTAATTTCTAGGATTGAATCAAATGACTTGCCTCTGTTGGCTGCTATAGCAAGTACTTATTCCCCATATGTTGCTCAAATACTCCTATAAATTAAAGTCTCAGGGTAGTCCTTCCTTTAAAGTAATGAGAATGGGAATGTTGAATGAAGAACAGAAGTGCCAAACACTGGTAAAGGGGAACACTGAGAAAAGCAGGTGATGACTGTACATTCTACCACCTTTCAATTCCAATTTCAACCAGATGTTTTATCGGAGGACTTCAGTTTACATAACATAAAAGGCATTCAGGTTTTTCTTACAATCTCACTTCTGACTTAAATCAAGAAAGTGACTGCATCGTTGCATTTTATTTTTATTCAAAGGACAAAAGTTAACACAATGTGGCAGACCAGGAACTGTCATCCAAAACGCTGCTCAAAACCATGAAGTAACAGTTAAAAGAACAAGTGGGTTAGAATGGGTTTTGTAATAATACACTTGAGTGTGGTGTATGTTCCTTTTTTGGGGAGGAGGAGCTGTAAACAATGTATATAGCATTCCTGTACACAAGTGTATTACACGGGACATGATTTTCTTGCAAAGTGTAAACATGATTTTTGTATAGTAGAGGTGATGGGCTCAGAACAAGGAAGGGAGGGAATGTTATGTGGGAATGGAGGTGTGCATGAGGTGGTGAGACTTTTTCCCTTAAAGGACAAGAGGCTAAGAAAACTGTGGCTGCTCCTCTTTTAATGAGGCATTCAATTGAGCCCATGGCTAGAAGTGAAATGGAATGGACTTCTGAGATAGGGATTTTATGGGAAAGCCTTATGGAATTTCTGCTACAAGTTTACATTTGTTGCTGATGCAACTTCAATAACTCTTTTGAGTTTCTGTAGTCCTGGGAACTAAACCTGTGTCTTGGTGTCACCAAGAATTACTATCTCTGAGGATTATGAATTTGTCAAACTTCTGTATGATACCAGTGCTGTTAAAACATGCCTGTGCACACCAAGCAATTGGCACAAACTGAAGACAATCTTACTGGGGAAATAAGACAACAAGCAGGCCCCAACCAAATCTTTACTCAAAATTATTATTTTTTTTTTCCCAGGTACTAGTTCTCACTCTAAGTAGGAATAAAAAAGGAGCATTGTTTGAAGTAAAATTAAATGCAGAAGGCAGACCCTAATATTTGATATCACTATGAATGTTTGCAATTACCCTTTTTGATTTTACAGAAATCTTTGAACTATCATCTGGGTGCCTTTCCTTAACAGGTTAACTACTTTGAGACCAGAAACTACTTCTCCACTAGTTGATACTGGCCTTCTGTGTTACTAGAAAGAAAAATAAAATTTTGTATATTATTGTTTTCATGTGGTTGATAACATGAATGTGAAAAAAAAAATACTACTTTTGCATAAAACATTGTTAAGCTGGATACGAAACTATGGACCAGACTGAGGAAAGAACAATGGATCAAAACGAACATTCTTAAAGAAATGGAAGGCTCAGTGTTGGACCATTCTGTTGTGAGCCAGCATGAAAGAGATGTCTGAAATTGTCAGCTTGCAAGCAAATTACTAGCAGCACAATTTGCTTGGAAATAGTGAATTCTAGTAAGAAACTCCTGGTCACCAGTTAAGAGTTCTCCTTGTTGGTGATTACAGTTTTTTAACACTGAAGTGACACACTTTTATTAAGTGTTTTTACTTCCTACTACTTTGATGTTTGGACTTTTCTACAGTAAACTTTCAATGATGTGAAATAATGAAATGTGCATATTGTGAATTGTTTAAATGTGATGGGGAGGAGTTTTGATTAATCTTGTGTTGCTTTTTGAGGAAAATAAGCAGGCTGATATACTGTGAAGAGAAGTTGTTTCCAAGTGGAGGGATACTTAATATTCTGATACTACACTTCTAAAACTGTTCCTTATGTGCTGAGTTTCTGAACTAACATTCCAGATGTTTCTTCTATCACATTTTCGTACTTGTCCCTAGTATTCTGCCTAAAAAGGCTAAAATCTTTCTATGGTTCAGTTTTTCTCCTACTGCTTATAGTTAAGCAAACTTTTCATATCTTTAGTCTGAATCCTTCTATCTGCTGGAAAGTAAACTACCTCTGTATATAGCTGTTAGCAGACACCACTCTCTATTCCACGAGGTTAACATGAAGAAAGAACCATAGAGCAAGTCTCATACGCCTGTGATGGAGAATGCGTGCGTACACATGTGTAGGATGATGAAACCGCTTCCCTAAGTCTGTATAGAAACCCTTATGTACCTTCTTTATTTCATGTCACTCTTAAATAGTAGCTTAGTTCATTAAAAGTCTGTTTCAGTTCTCTTAAAGTATTAATTGGGTTTTTATCTGAACAGACTCTGACAGTTCTTCAGAGAAATATGTGCTAAGATAGAAATATGTGCTTTTGTCATCATTGAGTTTACTAAGGAAGTCAAAGGTTGGCCAACATTCAGTGATTTCAAGACTAGTACCATGATCAGTAAACCTGATTTTACTACATGAACTATTTAAAAAGATAATAATTTTTTTTTTAATCTGCCTTTTGGCAAGACATCAAATTAACCTAAAAGTGGCATATGAGCCAGTGGTCAAAAGCACTTGGATTTTCTTCAGTCCAGGCTAACAAACTTTATAGTTCTTGCTGCTTTCTCTAATATTTTGCTGCTCTTCAGAAACTATGTGATGAACTGTGTTTTAGTTTTGGGGGAAAGAAAATCCAAAATGAAAGCTGTTTATTACCTTTAAAAGACTTTAGACTAAAGAAAGCTAAATACGTATTTTCCTCTCCACCAACTGTACTACCTCAGTTGACAGGATTCCACCTTCTAGGGTTTTTTTTTACTCTTAAGTCTTTAACTCGGTTTTGGTAGCATCTTGCCGTTTATGTAAATTACTGTGGCATGACAGGGCAGTAGGTATTTACAGATGTATTGTTAGACATTTTCAGGGCATGTTTCTGTTATAATAGGATGAAAAGTGATATGAATGTACAGATGTGTTTAAAATTGATAATGTAGCTTAATTTTCAAATATTCCAAAGTTGTTTTTATCAGTATTATGTAGGGGTTTTTGTAAGCTTAAATACATACTTTCTTGGCTAAGTGGGAGTGCACAGTCTTTCCAGCTTCCCACGTAAATGCAGTTTACACAGTGTAATTTAAAGAATGTATGCTTTTTTTTTCAGGCAAGACTAAACCTTCATACACAGAGGGGAGGAATAAACTGCTAAATTGTAGTATTTCATCTAAATGGATTTTTTTAACCCCAAATTGATACCAAGATCTAAACATTTTAATTGAAGCAGGTTCTCTCTGAACTAATGTATACAACTTCCTTCTGCCCAAAAGAAATGAATAGAGACTGATGTAATTCACATTCCTAATGGCATACTCCAGAGTTATAGACTGATCTTCCCTGCTCCCTACAGTATGCATCTTTACTCTAAAAGTCACAAAACCTTTTCAGAAACACCAAACTCCTATATATAAAGTTTACTCAAAATGATCACTTATTCCTCAAGTATAACTTCTACTTCAGTTAAAAGAAGCCAAATCAACATCAAGTCTGAACTGCTGAATATACAAATAAACTCTAGACCTTTTTTTTATTTAAGTCAAGTGGGCTAATTTTACATACATAGCAGGTTTTCCATAGTAGAAAAAAAATGTATGTTGCTATTGCATGTTCGGAGAGTATAGGTTTTTTAGGAATGACTGAATACCAATGTCAAACTATGTGGGTTTTTTTCTTAAAGTTGTTTATGTATGCTATCATTTTGGTCTATTTCTTTGCGGCATTTGGTGCAATAAACTTTCTGAAATGAACCTAAGTGGTATTTGGTATCTTCCTTTTCAAAACTTCTGAAATAGCTGTGCTGCTTGTAGCTGAGATTTAATAGTGCATGAACATCTGATAACCCATTAGGTGGAGTAAGTAAAATGTTGCAAGAAATGTCTGAGAGTCAGACTTTACAAAATTTGGAACCTGATTGAAAACTATTAGCATCTTTGGAAGCTTTACCGTGCTTAGATATGTCAATGAGTGCTCTTACAGTGTGAAAACTAGCTGAAAAAAATAACAAAGTGAAGACACTGTTGGAGTAGGTCCTGCAGAGGTTCTACACGCCTGTGTGACTGGCACATAGCTCAAATGCACATGAAAATAGCTGTCTGAAAAATGTGTTGCTATTACATCATATATCCAGTTTTATAAATTACTCAGTCTAACAGGAATGAGCAACACTTTGTGCCTTCTAGATTATGAATTGGTTGATGGACTTGAGATGAATTAGTTTAAAATAAAGAGGCCTTCCATTTGTGTCAAATTATTCATGACCTGAATTTCAGTTTAGTGTTCTGCATCTTACTGGAAAGTCCTTGTTTATGAAATGAAAATGTAGAAGATATGATCAACTGTAATTATGCTAAATAACTTTGAACAGGTCTGCGGTATAGTCTGATTTGTAGGGTATAAGTACTTCTTACTTGTAGACTGAAATGCTTGGGGTTTACTTTTTAGTCTGGCTAACAAAGATTGGAAGCAAAGCAAAAATCCAGGAATTTTGATGTTAAGGACTTTTCACAGCTTCTGGCTTTCTGGTCTGGCTGTGGTAATTACCAACACTGGAGCATTTGAAAATAAATTACTCTTCTTATGTTCAAAGGCACTAAATGCTTATGTGCAGACTTGAGAGAGAAACATCTGTTGCATTGTCTACTACAAATCCTGTGTAATGTGTGCTCCTGTTAGTACTTATGTACAAATTGTGACTTGTTAGAGGTTAACCAGATTTGGCTTTTATGAGAATGAAACCAGTGAAGAAGTTCTCCTAATATGTAACAAGGATTTCAAGGCTACAGCAGGTGTAAGCAAATGTGATCTATATGACAAAATAGCTAAGTCTCATGCCAAAATTCTTCCAGTCTTTGTCCCTTCTTTTCTCTTTAAATAAAAAGTCATACATATAGCAAAGTTTTCTGCTAATCATCCAGGCACCATATTCTTTGGTTTTCTGTACATACATGGTTGAAGAGAACATAACTGGATGTATGAAACAATTTTGGACATAAAGGATATGCAGC